AGAGCCACTTGCAGCTTTTTTCTTTTTGCTTATGTGGTGCTGAGGAATCAAACCCAGGCCCTCAGGCATGCAAGGCAAGCGCTCTACCACTGAGCCACCTTCCCAGCCCCTACCCCCCAAATTAAGTTGTATATTTCTTTGTGAGCCACAGGCGCCCAGCTTTAAGTTGTACATTTCTAATGGAAAATTTTAATCCTATGTAAATTACATTTTTGATGAAATAATTAGAAAGAAAGAAAAATAACAGGGCACTAGTAGTTCATACCTGTCTAACTGAAGTGGCTGGAGGATCATAGTTCAACAGACAGGAAAGTCCACAAGATGCCATGTACAATATAACCAGCAAAAAGGTGGGCTGAAGGTGTGGCTCAAGTGGTAGAGCACCAGCACAGCAAGCAAGCCAATCAAGTCAGAGGCTCTGAGGTCAAGCCCCAGGAGTAGATGAGGAAGAGGAAGAGAAAGAGGAAGAGGAAGAAGAAGGGGAGGAAGAAGAGGAGAAAGAAGAGGAAGAGGAAACTGAGGTTCACACTGACAAATAGCATCACTTGAATTTTTAAAAGGGCTGCCAAGGCTCAGCTCTTGCTGCTCTATACCATTACCTCCTTCACCAGCAATTCCTATTCATGTCAAGGTATTTAGAGTGACTCTAAGGGCTAGCATTCTGAGTACAGAGGTAAATGAATGCAAACGGTTAAAGAAACAAAACAAAGGCACTGAAGGTATAGCTCAAGTGGTAGAGCGCCCGCCCAGCAAGCGCAAGGCCCTGAGTCACATCCCCTGTAGCACTCAAAGGCAGAAGGAAAAAGAAGAAAGAATATAAAACTCAGCCCACCTCACAAGAAGCCATGCTCTGCAGTCTGCCCTTACCTCATCCAGAAGTCACAAGGTCCCCAGCAGCCACAGCTGAGGTATGGACACACCCCAGCTTCTAACTGATTGGCTGTCAGGGAGGCCTGACTCAGTCAGATTACCCAACCAGATCCTGCTCTCAGAGTGGCCCATCAACTTCTCAGAGCAGCTGGAACATGGCTAATATGCCAAGACTAAAGAGCAAAGCGTTAGATGTGACCTGGTCACTTCCTACCACAATGAGGTCACCAGCATGCTGTCCAGCAGTCCCTTCTCTTCATCAGGCAATCCTTCAGGATTGCTGGAGGCCACGGGGACCTCTGAAGTCTTAGCAAGGCTGAAGTCACACAACCTGAGCTTTCTGGGGATCTGGGAAGATACTAGCAGCATTCCAACAGGAAGATGCAAAACGCTGGCTGAAGTTACACCAGGTGACGGCCATCAGAAGGTGCACCATTTCCTTCCTTCAAGAAGACCCTGAATAACTCGGGGCTATGTTGGGGGAAATCCATGAAGAGATTACTGTGACAAACGACCACATCAAAGTCACGTGTGGCTTTTTCGGTTCTTAGCTTTGGCTCTGCGTTGGAGAAAGCGGCTCTCCCATCCCCTTCCGGCCCCTGAGCCTGGGGGAAGGACACGTGGGTGAAAGCAAGAGGCTGCATGTGCAGTCTGACCAGTAGAAGGAAGAATGACTCCTTTCCCATCCCCCTGTCTATTTCTGGGAGTCATTTGCCTCAGGAAATGCTGAGCCCCTTCTCCCAGGACCCTGGTGGGAGTGACGCCCACACGGGCTGTCCCAGCCTGCCACATCCTCCTGCGGGCCACAGCAGCTCTGCCCCGGGACCCGCGGGGTCACTGGGAACCTGGCCTGCCAATGGCAAGTGCTCTTTAGGAGTCCTGGTCTGTGAGGACACTCAAAGAGGAAAGGCTAAAAAAAAAAAAAGAAAAAAGACACAAAACTAGAAAAGCTCCTGCCATGGAGATGCTCCGAAACACGAGCACAGGAAGGTGACAGGCAGGAAGTCAGGACTGGAAATGATAACACTGGACCGGGGGCTTTGCGGCGGCTCTCACACTGGGAGGGTGGCTCAGCGGTAGAGCGCTTGCCTAGCAGGCATGAGGCCCTGGGTTTGAGTCCTCAGAACCACATACACAGAAAAAGCTGGAAGTGGCACTGTGGCTCAAGTGGTAGAGTGCTAGCCTTGAGCAAAGAAGAAGCTCAGGGGCAGTGCCCAGGCCCTGAGTTCAAGCCCCAGGACTGGCAAAAAAGAAAGAAAGAAAGAAAGAAGGAAGGAAGGAAAGAAAGGAAGGAAGAACAAACAAACAAAGCAAGGCTCTGTCCCGTCTGCACTGGTTCGCTTCTCTACATTCCCACAAAGGCACTGCCTCAAGCTGGGTACACGAGTTTCATGTTTTTGTCGTTGCTTTTTGTGACAGCCCTTGCGCTTACAGTTGGACCTTATACTCTTGCTCTGCTTTTTCACCCACAGCTGGCGCTCTACCCTTTGGGGCTCTTTCTGGCTTTTTGCTGGTTAACTGGAGATGAGTTATTTGGAGCTGGCACTAGTGACTCATGCCTGTAATCCTAGCTACTTAACTAAGCTGAGATCTAAGGATCACAGTTCAAAGCCAGCCCAGCCAGGAAAGTCTGTGAGATTCTTATCTCCAATTAACCAGGAAAAAGCCAGAAGCAGAGCTGTGGATCAAATGATAGAACATCAGCCTTAAGTGAAAAAGCTAAGGACAATGCCCAGACCCTGAGTTCAAGCACCAGCACACACACACACAATGATAGAACATCAGCCTTAAGTGAAAAAGCTAAGGACAATGCCCAGACCCTGAGTTCAAGCACCAGCACACACACACACACCACACACACACACACACACACACACTCAGGTTTCTCTGCTGGGGCTGGCTTCCAATTCTGGTCTTCAGATCTCAGCCTCTAGAATAGCTAGGATT